TGCGTCATCTCCCTCCATTTGAAACTCTTCAGGATCGATCTTTTCACCGTCGCATGTTTTGTCTTGAGAGTCACTTCAGCGTAATCCAATAATTCGCTATTAATTATCAAATCGTGTCCGCTCGGAGATCATATTAATAGCGAACCTGAACTTTTCATCGTCGATGATCACGTCGGCAATAAAACGAACATACGTTTGTTAAAATGCATCAATACTGACAGACGTAATCGTCATCGATTCTAATTTCGGAGCTACCCTTCTTGTGTTCTTGTTTCCCAAGAATGTTCAAGTCTTTTTTTTTGTCACCGGATTTTAACACGTCGATACGCACTTTTGCATTGCTGCTTCGAGTAGTCGTTTTCTCACTCCTCTTCGGACACTTAGCTACGACATGTCCAAATTCGTCGCAGTTGAAACACTTTGCACTTTTGCTTTTATCGGGAGAGTCAATGCTCATGTGTACCTTGCTGCCATAGTTAAAACATCTCTTTTTTTTTCTTCGTCTTTTAAGTGACCAGTCTCCGCTGTACATCTCCAGTGCATCTTCAACATCTTTACAAGTCAGCGAGGTCTGCCTATGGAACACTTTTCGCCATGTCGCACTTGCCTTCTTTCACTTCCATTTCTTTAATTTCTTTTATTTCTTTTACTTTATTCGTCCCTTTCATTTCTTTCATTTCATTCATTTCCACCATTTCCTTCATTTCTCTCATTACTTTCCTTTCCTTTCATTTTTTTCATATTTTTCATTTCTTCCATTTCGTTCATTTCCTTCATTTCTTTCGTTTCTTCCACTTCCATTTCTTTAATTCCTTTCATTTCTTTCATTTTTTTCGTCTATTGCGTTTTTTCATTTCTTGCATTTCTTTCACTTGTTCAATTTCTTACATCTCTTCCATTTCTTTCATTTGTACCATTTCTTTCATTTCTACTACTTCTTTAGTTTCTTTCATTTCTTTCATGTCTTCCTCTTTTCTTCCATTTTGTTCGTTCCTTTCATTTTTCCATTTCCTTCATTTCCTTCATTACATTCATTACATTCTTCCATTTCTTTCATGTATTCTATTTCTTTCGTCTCATTCATTTCTTTCAATTCTTTTGTTTCTTTCATTTTTTTTTATTTCTATCACGTCGCATGCCATCCAAGAAGAAATGCATATTCCTAAAACGACTGTAAGATTTAAAATATGGTGGACCCTAGATTGACCAATATTTAAGTCCTAAGGATGTTCATATGACGTACCAAATGGTTGTAGAACTTGTGGCCGTAAATTGGACATAGAATGGTCGTTTTATGTACGTTAGGTGTTACCTTGGAGATATTATAATATCTTTCATCAAGACACAAGAAAATCACAGCATTTAAATAGATTTACTTGTATACAGTGTAAAGTTACGATGGTTCCAACAGTAACATTATCTGCCTTTTTTGCAGATTTTTATTTTACATAAAATCCAACAAAGAATCAAAAGACTCAGCAGCTAGTGATTATTATATGTACCAATCTCTAAATGAACGGTAGTTAAAAAGATGAGAAAATAAGAAAGTAAATATTTATTTACTATAACTATACGATTATAACTATGGAGGCATCGCTTCGGCATATTAAAGTTGAGAGAACGAGTAGGAAGACAGATGAGTGCGAAAGAGAGAGACAGAGAGGGGAGGGGAAGTGCCATAGAATAAGAAGAACGAAATGAGTGATAGACGAGGACAGAACTTCCAGAACTATATCCCTCAATTTTCTAACGTTAATGATAGTCAATGATGATACGTTGAGTAGTGGCTAGGCAAGTGCAACAAGTTTCGAACGTTATGACCCGCGAGTCCTGGTAACCACCCTCTGTAAGTACAAAGTTCTCGAATTTGTGAAGCGTGACTAAAGCTACATATGTAGCCCACTTTACACTTGGTGGTATATTGTATTATCCAATTTACAGCTAATTATCTACTACACTTTCCATTGAAATCCGAAGGGTAACTGTTGCTCCTGAGTTTACAAATTGGATAATATAATCAACCATTAGTTGTAAAGCGGGTTACAAAATTTTAGCCATGTTTCACAGATGCGAGAACTTTGTAATTATACAGGATGATCCATTAAAGTTATAGTATCTATACATAGAGAGACACTAGTGTCTCTTGTCCCGGCGGTAACTTCAGTATGTCATCACTTTCATTTTCACTGTTACTTTCTCACAACATCCTATCTCATAACACAATGATATAACAATTTTTAATTTTAACATTTTAATAATGATTTTTGTTTTAACATATTGTTGATAGTTTTCTGATTAAAATGAGATCAAACATGATATAGTTTGGGTAGATATTTCTGTTTACAATAAAATCAAAGACGATATAATTTCGATTACATTTATGTACCTAATACTTAATGTGTAATTCATTTTATTTTATTACCGCTTTGATTATATGAGTAAAACACATTGTTATACATATTAATAATAACTGTACATTAAAAAGCTGCGTTGACATTGTGCATAATTAGATAAGTGGGAAATTATATTCTACATTAAATTGTGGGAATTGTCTAGTAGCGTGGCCTACGGGCGAGCGTAGAAAACTGAATTTTTGATTACCTAATTTTTTACCTGTTTTCTATAGGCTATTATCTCATGTTTACATGAAATTTTGCTGAATAGAACCATGGGGGGGCAAATTGAATTGAATGAATATTGCCGTTGTTGCGCTATAAAAACGAATCGAACAAAAGTGACGAGTTGACTCTTGTCGAGGCTTCGGTTCCAGGCCTCGTCCTTTACCGCCACATCTGCAATCCATCTGTTGCGCTATAGACGCTTAGTTTTGAGGATATGGTATCTTAACACTTAGCACGCAACTGTAGCACGCGCTACAGAGACCTATACAGTTTCCACCGCGCTCGGGAAAGCCAAACTGCGCTGTCCACCGCGCATTTGAAATCAAAAACGTCCGAAAATTATTTATGTGATCAATTATATCTTACGGTAACAATTTCGTTCAACGATTTCACATATTGCTTATACAAAATTCGAATTTAAAAGTTTATAATAATTATTTTTTTAATGGTTATTCAAAAAGTATAGTTAATAGAGTCAGAAAATTAAGGACAGTAAAGATGACGGATAAATAACGTAACTCGTAATTCGTAATAACGTAATTCGTCGATTAGTCTGATATATGGGAACGATGGTGCTATTATTGTCGTCAACTTCACAATCACTTAGCAGTAGATCAATGTCTTCAGAACAGTCTGATAGTGTGTCCATAAACAACTCATCACTTGAATTGTCACTCATGTTTCTGGACATTTTTAGGGATATTTTTTCTATACTTCGTTTCACACCACTTGTTGAGAGTCACAGCAAGGAGCTTAGCTTCTACATTAATATTTGCAAGTTGAGCGGAGTCTTATATATTTGAAAAAGNATATGAGTAAAACACATTGTTATACATATTAATAATAACTGTACATTAAAAAGCTGCGTTGACATTGTGCATAATTAGATAAGTGGGAAATTATATTCTACATTAAATTGTGGGAATTGTCTAGTAGCGTGGCCTACGGGCGAGCGTAGAAAACTGAATTTTTGATTACCTAATTTTTTACCTGTTTTCTATAGGCTATTATCTCATGTTTACATGAAATTTTGCTGAATAGAACCATGGGGGGGCAAATTGAATTGAATGAATATTGCCGTTGTTGCGCTATAAAAACGAATCGAACAAAAGTGACGAGTTGACTCTTGTCGAGGCTTCGGTTCCAGGCCTCGTCCTTTACCGCCACATCTGCAATCCATCTGTTGCGCTATAGACGCTTAGTTTTGAGGATATGGTATCTTAACACTTAGCACGCAACTGTAGCACGCGCTACAGAGACCTATACAGTTTCCACCGCGCTCGGGAAAGCCAAACTGCGCTGTCCACCGCGCATTTGAAATCAAAAACGTCCGAAAATTATTTATGTGATCAATTATATCTTACGGTAACAATTTCGTTCAACGATTTCACATATTGCTTATACAAAATTCGAATTTAAAAGTTTATAATAATTATTTTTTTAATGGTTATTCAAAAAGNTTCGTTCAACGATTTCACATATTGCTTATACAAAATTCGAATTTAAAAGTTTATAATAATTATTTTTTTAATGGTTATTCAAAAAGTATAGTTAATAGAGTCAGAAAATTAAGGACAGTAAAGATGACGGATAAATAACGTAACTCGTAATTCGTAATAACGTAATTCGTCGATTAGTCTGATATATGGGAACGATGGTGCTATTATTGTCGTCAACTTCACAATCACTTAGCAGTAGATCAATGTCTTCAGAACAGTCTGATAGTGTGTCCATAAACAACTCATCACTTGAATTGTCACTCATGTTTCTGGACATTTTTAGGGATATTTTTTCTATACTTCGTTTCACACCACTTGTTGAGAGTCACAGCAAGGAGCTTAGCTTCTACATTAATATTTGCAAGTTGAGCGGAGTCTTATATATTTGAAAAAGTCGTGAGAGTGGGGTGTAGGTAGCATTTTGATTTCTAATGGGTGTGGTGTTGGTGTGCATTTTATTATATGTTGTACTCTATAGAAATAAGAAGCTCTATAGAGAAAGAAGCGTTCCTCAGGTCAAAGTGGTAGATCTACCCGATCGGTCGGCTAAGTGTTAACAGCGCCGTTCTTCCCCCATATTTGACCTTAGGCTGGCCCTGCAACATCTCTCTCTCTCCCTAAATATTTTTTTTTTAATATTCTTTTAGTTCAGTACGGAAGTTGAGAAAGAACTCAACGCAGACTGGTGTAGTTCAGAACTACACTTTTCCGTTTCCCGACCATCACCAGGCAAGGCCACGTCTGGGAACCACAATAGTCTGTAGTGTGATCTTTACGTGTGTAAGGTGCCTAAAAACATGGCAATAGCTTCGTGTTTATATATGTGATCTAAATACTTGAATTTTTTTTAGATGATAGGAGGACTAAGTTTACCACACAATGACTAAAATACTTTATTTTTATTTTGCTATTACCTGGAATGACAAAAAAGAACAAAAAAACTCACGTCGTATAACTTTTTCATCTAAACCTAAAACGAAAATTTAAAAAATGTGTTTTGTAGATCTCGGTAATCTATATGCATGCTGAAAGTTTCATCGAAATCGGTTAACACAGAGTAAGCTGCGTTGAAAGATTTTAAAAACTGCATATTTCTGACAGGTATTGGTTAAAAGCGTAAAATGTCGGAACAAAAGTGTAATTTTCGCGATCTTTAATTGTTCGTAGCTCTTAACAACGTCAATCGATTTAAAAAAAGTTAAACGTTAGTTTGCCCGTGACGTTTGTAAATTCCGCCAAAGAAAATTTTACTTGGCCTGTGTACTCGCAGTTCAATAGTGAATAATTGAAATTCGGTGAAAATAATTTCTCTTCGTATTCTGTGCAGGTCTGCGATTTCATAGTGGTTGTCTTCGGGAATTCGATGGTTTTGGTTTCCATAATCACTGGAAGGTGGTACTGGGGCTACGGAATGTGCCAATGGTATAACTTATTGTTTATTAATTGAAATTACACTCTGAGGAGATATTGGAGCCTGTTTCCCGCCGACTTCAGTTCATTCCAATATCGTCATTTTCAGTTTCCTTCCCTTTCGCTTCATCTTTAACTCTTGTGTTGATGTTTACCTAGTTGCTACATTTATGCCGTCTCCGCGGAAATGTATCCAAAATATAAAATAATTTAGCCGGTTCACTATAGCGTCATACCCGAGCAATGACTATAATTTTATATTTCTGTATCATTATGTTGCTCATTTCATATACATGTACATATTGTCCGTTTACGATACAGATGTAAACGAAACGATTCGGCTCGGGCAAACATTGTTTTAAGTTACTAAGATACGAATATTTATTACATATACCATCTTTAACCATCCTTCCGGGCCATTGTCAGATTACTACTCCCATAAAACGTATCGGTTTAGTACCTTGAGAGTAGCTATCTGGCAGTGGCCCTAGTGCGACTGTAGACACGAGACTCCACAGCACAGCTTGGCAAGACGTGGGCAGGAGTAAAGGGCCTAGTGGGTACTGCATATACGAAACTATAGAGCAACTGTTAAGAGTAGAACAGAAGAAATAGCGCATCATCTGTTAATCCGATTTCATCCCGTCACTATCTTTGTGGTGGGGAAGAGGACTTAAAAATTGACTGAGAGAGTTTTCCATCAATGGGTTATCAAAAGAACTAAAAAAAGTAAATTTTGTTACGGGACATTCGTTATAGGCGGCATTATTAAAGGCTTTTAGATGCAAACTTTACTTTATTACATTTCTTAATTCATTTATCACTGTTGTCTTCCCTCCATAACATCACACCGACAACGAGATCTTTGGCAATTTCATTTATGAATATTATCTCGTTAAGAGATACCGTTAGTTGACTCATTTTTAATATATTCAATTTTTATTCATTATCAGCGTATTCATTATTTCTTCTATTATTATAATTTTTAAAAGTATTCTGTCATTTATATTTTGTGTTGTATATTTGTCTTCATTCTTTTAGTTACTCTTTTTAGTCTTTGTTCTAAAATCTTTTCCTTTGAAAAATATTTAATTTAAAGTTTCCGGAATATTAAAAACATTATATTTTTCACCTTTCAAGGCTACTTTGATCGACAAAATATATGATACATTTTTTCAAAGCCAGTCTGACACAATAATGTCATAAAAGCCGCTACATTTGGTTTCGGTATATTATCTTGTCTGGCGAATTGGATGGATCAGGGGATTAATACACATCCGATGGATTTCGAATTTTGCCAATTCGAAATTATTTGAGAAAACACGCCGATTGTCCGCGACAATGTAATTATCGTGCAGGATAAATGTGGTTGTGGTACCTGACGCATCTTCAGTTTCCGTTCAGTTCATCCGCTAGTGTATCACGCCAATTAATCTTCTGTAAACTACAGGGAATAATGCCACTGTATATCTGAAATACAATACGAAATTTCATGACATTATAAGACTGACGTGTTAAAATTAACAAATTGTAAAACATTAAAAGAGTTACCGCTATTGCATAATACATTCAATAACAACGCTTTTATTACATTTCCAGTCTAATATTAAAGATTTATAAATAGATATTAAAGGATGTTTACTTTATATATAAAGCCAGAGATACTTATGTATTAATGACAAGAGAGATGCATATTTTTATAGAAAGCCTATGTATAAAGAAATGAAACCGGAAAAAATAGTTCCGCTTAAACAACATAAATACATATATTATTTGCACCATTCAATGGATATTAAAAGCATCCGCAATCTGGCGATAAAGTTATTGTAGATCTTAATACACTAATCATAAACGTATAATTAGGCTGAGGATTTTTATGCAAAATAGAAATTGTCTGCATCATTTAAAAAGAACAAGGTTTAAGTAAAAAGTTTCTTCTCTTTAGTTCTTAGGTGAGCAAGCAAAATAGTGCTAGTCAGTATTATCAAATTAAGTTTCAGATTTTAGTATAAACATTGATAACGCATGTTTCATCCTATTGAACAATTGAGTTTAAACAATGATCATTCATCAGATGAATTCAGGATGAAAGTCTTCAAAAAATTCTTCTGACACTTTCGCGAACCTCTACGAATTTCACTTACTCATATTTACCATAAACTCATGAAATCCGCAGCTACTTACATCAAATCTTATATTCATAACTTTCGTAACTGCAAACCTGAAGTCGGCAATCTAATTAATTTCCTCATTTTATGGTTTTCACAGTTATGCCATCTTTATGTCTACCGTGGGATTCGCAAGCATCGGGAATGTGACCGCGATGACTGTGGAAAAGTGGTATCTGGTCGTCAATTCGAGTAATATCATATCCAACTGGTAAATAATGTTCCATCTCTTCTTATCCGGTTCTCGAATCATATTTGGAAAGTGATTCGGCTCTCTCTTTTCGAAGAACCGAGGGGATTGTGGGACAGATCGAGCGGTTCGGTTCCATTGTAAAAAGAACTGGGCGTTGTCGTGATCCACAGTTCAACGCACGTGTGTGAACCAACCATGGTCAAAATAGATCGTAATTGGCTTAATATCCGATTCCTCCTATTTTCAGGCAACTAACAACTACCCACGGTATTTCCTCCGCGTGCGAATAATTTTAATCGTATTGCCGATGATTTAACGGATTTTTAAACTAATTAATGTGCATAATTTCGATTTAACACGTTGACTGCCGTGCCCGTTGCACATTTGCGCAAAGCAAAGTTTATTTGGAATTATACGATCTGAAAAGAAATATTTTTTTAGGCAGCTCGGCATTCAACAAGTAAATGCTTATTACAATATAGACCTACAATCGGTGTACAAAGTATTCGTACACTCTTTAAAACGGAACGACATTTTTTTAATCAAGCGATCTAAATGTTTTGGAGACGTTAGAGGCATTTGTTTACTAGACCAAGGCTAAAAATTGTTTTAAAAAAATTGCAATTGGTTAGCAGAATAAAAGAATTAAAAAATGTTTTTTCAACTTTTTTTATCAGAGCCTGTAACGAACATTCAAAAAACGCATTTTGTAAATGACGGTAACTGAAACTTACATTGAAATCAACTGACTCATAGTCGAGCTACAGCCACTAAGAGATGTAAAAATTATTTGTTTTTGGTTGAAATTTGTGAAAAATTGCGATTTCCACGATCTTTAGTTTATAGCTCATGTCAAGAGCTATACAAAATGAGATCTACAAAATGCATTTTCTAAAGTTTCGTTACACCAGGTGTGTACATACCTATCGCCACGATTTTTCAGGCACTTTCGACAGTCTGACAAAAAAATGTAGGAAGAATATCCAAAATGTACCCAATGAAAGTTAATCAGTACTTAGTCGGCGACATATTGAAATACAACAAATTTCAAATACTATTGTTTTTCAATTAAATGTCAAGGTCACCTTGACTCTTTTAAATGGGTTATTGCTGATGAAAAAATGAATTCAACAACCTATTATACTATGACCTATAAGATGACCTTGACATCAGCAATTTAACGTTGAACAACAAAAGCGTTAACATCGAAAGGTATTTTACTTCAATGAATTGTTACCAACCGAGGGGCAGACAACTTTGCATGACCAGAGGTTTAACCCTTTCGCTACGGCAGCTCCATCTGCCGAAGTACCGTCACCGAACGGAAACTCGCTCCGGAAATATAATTACGAAAATTATTAAGACGAAAATGATTAAAATATAATAATATGTAAAAACTAATAATATAATTCTGTGTGATATATTTGAAAGCAAGGATCTATTCAAAGGCCAACATTGCAATCTTTGCACTCGTACCGCGAATCCGTATTTTTATCATTTTTGCTACAAATTACACGTCTGCGTCTTCTGTATACACTTCATTTCGATGCCGCATATATGCGGCGCCCGTACCCACAGGTCGTCGAGTGGATGCCGCGTATATGCGGCGCTCGGCGCGAAAGGGTTAATGCGATTTTGGAGTTTTGGTAAGGGAATTGCGTAGTCTAGCCGATGCCTATCTCATCACCGAGGCGTCGGTGATGAGATAGATAAATGTTTTGCGAACTAGACGATGTTTGTTTCATCACCAGGGCGCCGCCACTAGGAGTGTAAATTTAGTGGCTGCGCATTCTGTTAAGTTGGTGCGTATGAAATGTCGAATTTTAAGTGAATATATAAAACTGCATATCTTTATACAAAATATGCTCTACTTGCTTCAATACACTTTTACCAACGATATCTTAATACATAGATGCCTATCTTAAAGAAATTCTGATCTTTAAAATCAATAAACTCTGATATGGAATTTTTCAGATTATCTTCATCTTCATACTGTTTAGCCCGTAAAAACTCTTCTAAATGTTTAAAAAAATGAAAATCGATTGGCGAAAGATCCGGAGAATAAACTGGGTGTGCTGTAAAATTTCATATCTTAATTCATTTAATTTCACAATCGAAGAATGACCATTCATATACGAAGAGCGTATACATATACATATACGCTTTGGAAAAGTGGGCGCGCGGGTACGAAGAGCGTATATATACATATACATATATATACGTTCATACCATATACATATACTTTTAGAGAGATGAGATACTTTTGATACTTTTGTTAATCGAGTATCTGGCAACGCTGCATGCCTTAAATAATTGACTATCATGAAATATATACTATTGACAAGACGATATTGTGTTTTATTCTAACAATACACAGTTTCAGTCTTCTTTAGAACATTGCCAGCGACGGATATATACCAGCAATTATATGTGGTTCCATGCTTTCAACTTTATCATACCAAAGTCGATTATTAAAATTACGTTCGGCTTTAAATACTTTAGTAATTTCGTTGTATTAAAAAATATTATATGAACGTTATAATATAATACTTAAAAAAATAAATTATGATTATAAATTTTTATATTTTAGAAGGTGAGATGATATTACTGAATTTAATAAATACCACTGTAAAATTTAGAGAGCGAGAAACGACTTCTAATTACTTCGTAGCATTCCGTACTTCAGTGCAAACTACTCAATAGTACGCTCCGTTCACAGCGATCACATTTTGACGCAAGCGCTCCGTAGTGAAAGGGTTAACAAGTGATAGGCGTATAATTTTCAATTTTTCATGCATTCTGTCAATGTACTGGCAGTACTTTTCGGCTCTAATTGTCTCCCCAGTCGAAGGAATGAGTAGTGAATTACTCCAGTCACATTAGTTTCCACTAATGCTTTCAGAGCATCATTTTTCACAAACGATTTGGGTCTTCCACGCGGTTCTTTTTGTAGGGAAAAATCACCAGATCGAAAATTTCCAAACGCTGCACTTTTTGATCGTTTACAGTATTCTCCTCAAACGCCTGGTTTATATTGTGGGCAGCTTTTGCAGCATTATTATCAATAAAATTACACGAATATTGGTTGAATTCACGTCCTTACGAAATTCGAAATAAATAACAAAATGGTACAATTTTGAGAAAATCTTTGTTGAAATGTGACTCTGGCAATGGACTGTATGACTATAAACGAGGTTATGCAAAAAACAAAAGTATAACGAAAACAGGGAGACAAACGTTCATATGTAAAGAAAATCTGACATTTCATACGCACGAACCTAATATTTATGAGTCTATCTATCGCGATTTCCCTAGCGTCTGTAATTGGACAAACACGTGGAAACAGTTACTAGAGTTTGAGGTTAGACACGCACGTGGGATGTTAATAACTAGATATAACTTCCCTAACAAAAGATAAATATATGTATACAACACTTGCTCGGTAAGAAAAACGAATCAGAATATCTGCGTGGCAATCGGCCAGATTCACGCGTGCTCACGCTACGCGTTGCGAACTTCGAGTCTCTGCTTTTCGAGAGCATTCTCTCTTTCTTTTTCCGGGGATGAAAACAAACTTTCGTTAACTACATAAACACAGATCATCGTAACTCGCACAGAACGTTGACGATGCGAGTGGCCGCTTGTGGAACTACGTGTTTGCCATGGACTACGTATCAGCCACAACACCTCCACCCACTTAGAAAAAAAAGGAAATCTATACAATAACTTAAGACTACATCGATCGCGATATAAACTTAATTACTACTCTATCGCAAAACGCACAGTCTTGAGTGAGGAAGTATTAAAGCCTTTTTTGGTACAACTCCTTAAAATGCTCTTGGGTGTGATTTTGGAAGGACAGAGAGCAGTCACTTTGTACGGCATTGGGATTCTCTGTCGGCGCAGCTCCTTCTTAACAGCGAGAAATGCCGGCTTCACATCGACCATAACATTTACGGTCTTCCCGTCGATGTCGACCGTGAAAACACGGTCCGAAATACGCTTCACAACTGAGTGCGGACCTGAGTATGGTTCCTGCAGGGGATACTTCACAGCATCCCGTCGAACGAACATATGGGTAGCAGGTCCTTATGGCGAAAGACTCTCCTGCGAATATGGTGTGCGGTAGGCGTCGGTCGCAGCTTTCGCATGAGGAGGTGAAATTCCTCCAGGAATACATGCAGATCGCAGACAAGCTCCTCGTGGCTGAAGAACGTGACTACTCGTCGCTGCCTCCTCGTTGCAGGAACTCTGAGGGTGGACCATATACCAGCTCAACTGCAGAACACTTCAAGTCCTCCTTGAGGCATATGCGCAGGCCCAACACACTTATCCAGTCGGTCGACTCGTGGCACATGATAGCATCCTTCAGTGAGCGATGCCTCGGGGTGTCCTCCGACCACCTTGATAAGTGCTGCGAAAAGTACAGCCTCGAACTGGCTACCTTGGTCCGTTGTGATCACCTTCGGAGCGCCGAAAGGGGCGATGCAGTGTGAAAAGAACGCGTTCACAGTGATGTTGACCAGAAGAACTGCTTCGGACCAACCGGTGAATCGGTCGATCATGGTAAGCAGGTACCGATATCCATGATATGAAGGTAGCGAATCCACGATGTTCAAGTGGATATGCAGAAATCGACCATCCGGAACGGTAATCTTATCTGGAAGCAATCGATTATGTTTGCGAATTTTTGAGCGCTGACACGCAAAACGTGAACGGGCGAAGGAAACTTGTGTGCAGCTTCTGTCCTTGTTCATGCCGGGCCAAATAAATCTCTCGGAGATCTGCTGTCTAGTAATCCTAGTACTAGGATGCGCGAGGTCGAAGACACGCTTCTGCAGTATCTTCGGGATGAACGGACGAATTTTTTCCCCAGAGACATCGCAGTGTAAGACAATGTCAAATCCAGTGAGCGAAAACTTTTGGATCTTCATCGACGTCGATGATGTGTGCAGTAGCGTTGCCAAGTCTTCGTCGTTGGTCTGCTCTCGCGCTACGTACTGGTCGGTCAACGTTAATGGCATCTCAATCGCTTCGATGCGTTACAAGGCATCAACAACATTCTCATCGCTATCCACGTGACGCAAGTCACTGGAACATTCTGAAATACAAGGTATCCCAAAAATGTCTCGTAATACGGAAATGGTGGGTAGCTAAGGTCATTCCAAGTAACTTTTCCTTAGCGAAAATGCAATCTGCGGCTTTCTTTACGAGTTATTAACGAAAAACACTGATCAATGAGAGACCAATGTGGTCGATCGCTCAAGCGCAACGTGCTCCGACCGCGGAGTTCAATAGATAAAGGGGACTCCGTGCCGCGTACAAATCAATGAACAAGTCACAGAGCATGAACTTTCGATTTTTTTTATCACGTGAGAGTCACAATTTTAAGAAAAACGCTGTTCATCCTTATTTCAGAATATCTAAAGAATATTTATTAATTTTTCGGACCCGATATAATAAGTAGATTAACCGTGATAGACGTTTTAATTTTCTTAAGCGCATGACACCTCACGTGACGATTCGCAAAGCTAATTTAATAATAAATAATCACGTTAAAGAACCTGCAGGATATGTTTGTTTAAGAATTGTAAAGAATATCATTAACAGTAATCTCTCCCATTTAGTTAAGGATGAATTTGCTGTTTGAAATTATGGTTCACGATGTCGGTGCACAGACCTCATACAATGTACAGCTGATCCCAGGCCGACGACTGCAGCATTCAAGGGATATTGTCGGAGGGAGCCTGAGGTACGGCTAACACAAAGTTCACTTTCATTGCATTATCAACAAACACTGACCAGTTAATTAATCACTGATAATCCAAAATCATAGAGGTATCTTACGGAGGGAGGGGAGAGTGTCAAATTGTTTGATTCTGCGTTAAAATGGAGTGGCTCTGAAAAGAACCGATAAAATCATTAAAATCTTCTATTGTCATGGTTCTTCGGGATCCTGGCCTCCCTACTTCGTTGCTGATTGTGCAGGTCACGCTGATGGAATAAAATGTGATGCTAAATTCTTCTTGAATCGTATACATTTTAACGGATAACGCTGGCGATGTTTCACGGAGCACGGTCTGCGACTGAGTGAATCTGTGTCTTTTTCGACTCCGCGTTTACGTTGGAAAAGTTCCTAACGAAAATGTGAATGCACGTGTAGCGGACCCCCAATGTGAAAAGAAAAGAATTTTCGAACGTGAAGGACCGATCGTAAAAGTAACGAAGTCCAGATGTTGGGCCTGGTCGCTTGAAAATACAATTGTGTTGTATTTTTGGAGATAATTCTCCACGATTTTGAATTATCAGTGTTTCGGATTATCAGTGATTAATTAACTGGTCAGTGTTTGGTGACAATGTAATGAAAGTGAACTTTGTGTTAGCCATACCTGAGGTCCCTCCGACAATATCCCTTGAACGCCTGCGGTCGTCGGCCTGGGATCAGCTGTACATTGTACGAGGTCAGTGCACCGACATCGTGAACCATAATTTCGAACGGCAAATGCGTCCTCAACTAAATGAGTAAGTTTACTGTTAATGATATTCTTTACAATTCTTAAACAAACATATCCTGCATGTTCTTTAACGCGATTATTTATTATTAAATTAGCTTTGCGAATCGACACGTGTCATGCGCTTAAGAAAATTGAAACATCTGTTAGGGTTAAGCTACTTATTATTTCAGAATTATTATATTATTTTATAGCATTATTATTTTCCGAAAAATTAGTAAATATTTTTCAGATACTCTGAAATAAAGACGAACAGCGTTTTTCTTCAAATTATCACTGTCATGTGGTAAAAAGAAATCGAAAATTCATGCTCCGTGACTTGTTCATTGATTTGAACGTGGCACGGAGTCCCCTTTCTTCTGTCAAACTCTATGGTCGAAGTATGTTGTGCTCGAGCGATCGATCACGTTGTAGTTCGTGCCCTTACCTCTCATTGGTCAGTGTTTTTCGTTGATAATTCGTAAACAGAGCCGCAGATTGAATTTTTTGCTAAGCATAATGTTACTTAGAATGACCTCAGCTATCCTCCATTTCCGTTTTACGAGACATGTTTGGGACACCCTGCATATGCCAAATGTCGAATTTGTCCCAGTGACGATTGGTCCAACTTCTTGTTGAAAGTGAATATCAGCAGTTTGTGGTCCGTGAGGATATAAAATTCTTGTCCTTCCGAGGAGTGGCGAAATTGCTTGATAGCCTCATAAGCAGCCAATAGCTCTTGGTCGTACGTGCAATACCTCTGCTGCGTGGGGGTTAGTTTCCTAGAAAAAAAGCTCAATGGTTGATGTTGACCTTTAATATTTTGTTGGAGAACTGCTCCAATAGTGGTGTCAGAGGCATCAGTCTGCAACGACAGTTTGGCAGCAGATTCTGGAAAGGACAGGATGACAGTATCTGACAATTCCTGTTTTGGTCTCGAAAAGGTGGCTCTCCTCAGTCCACAACAAGGCAGGTGAACTTCTTCTCTTGAGGAAACGATTATAAAAATTTACCATTCACTGTGGTTGACTCGGTGTAGTCACAAACAGCATCGACTTTGGCTGGATGCGGAGTCAGTCCTGAGGCTTTGATACGATGGCCAAGAAAACCTGTCAAAAATGCACTTGCCAGGGTCGATGACAAAGCCTTACAGATCCAACCTCTTGAGAACGATCTCCAGATGGCTACGATGCTCCACCTCCGACGGCAAGGCGATGATGAGGTCATCCAAGTAGACGTAGCAAAAGTCAAGTCCGGCGATAACCAAGTGCATGAACCTTTGGAAGGTCTGTGCAGCATTTTGTAATCCGAAGGTCATGGATGGAAACTCAAATAACCTGAAGGATGTAATGATTGCCGTCTTTGGAATGTCCTGCTCTGAAACAAGAATCTGCTGGTAAGCTCTGACCAAGTCAATTATTAAGTAGGTGGACGAGCCATGGAGAAATGTGTCAGAATCTTGAAGGAAGGGTATGGGGTACTTATCTGGTACGATCACTGTGTTAAGACAGTGATAATTACCGCAGGGTTTCCACTTCCCATCCCTTTTTGGTACCAAGTGAAGTGAACTTGCTCAAGGGCTCTTCGAAGGATGATACAATCCTTGCTGAATTATAAAGTCGAACTCTTTCTTTGCAGCCTTGAATTTGTCAGGCATGAGTCATCGTGCCTTGGCAGTGATAGGCAGTCCTATGGTCTCAACGAAGTGTTGGATTTCATGAGTGATCTTCCGAGGCAGGATTGACGTACGCGTCAATTTTGCAGCAGATCACTGAATGGAATATCTTGAGTCAGACATTGGAAGCGAGGAACGTTCTCGCTGCTCGGCCGACAAGAATATTGCTATCAATCAGCCTTCGGTTCCCAGTGTCCACTAGCAGGCTGAAATTAAATAAAAGGTCTGTGTCAATAATTGGTTGCTCTGGCCACGTCACAAATGATTAACTATCACATGAACGGCCTTCGGAAGTCCAAATTCAGTTTGATCAGCCGACTGTCATGTCCTGATCCTGAATCCGTTGACGGCGTACAGCTTCAGATCTCCAAGGTGACGACGATTACGTGCAGTAGCTGGAAGTACAAACACATCAGCTTCAGTGTCGATCAGGTTTTGCTGACGATCGTTTTCCGCAGAATTCTTTACCGCCCAGTTACAAGGCTAGAAACATCTGCAAGCCAGCGCCATATTTGGCTGTCTGCCTCGCACGCGGCTGCAGGGTTGCCGCAGAACCCTGTTCGTTGGGCAGAGTACTCGTGGGATCGCGCTCGAGGAGACCATTTTGTCCAAAAAGTTGCACGTGGTTACCTTAACCCAAACGGGAAGTTCGCGAGATCATTCGTAATTCGGTAATAGTCACCGGTAATATACCATGTCGTGGTCACCAGTTTTAGCGGCTGCGTGTTCTATTTGTGAATCTCTCTATCGCGATTTCCCTAGCGTCTGTATGCGGACGAAGACGTGGAGACAGTTACTAGGCTTCGAGATTAGATACACACGTGAGATGTTAATAACTAGATAAAACTTTATAACTAAAGTACGTATGAAATGTCCGATTTTGAGACTGAAAGTTTGGTTTATTATATCTCAAGCCTTGCTCTCAAGTTGCCCGCGTAGTTCATTTTGGATATTAAAATCTCCAGATCGGAATTTTACAAACCATCGACGTACCGTAGGTTCATTAGCCACATACTACGACAATATGATAGACTATTAAAAACAGAAGAGTGTCTTGTCAATTTCAGTCTTCTTTGGAACATTGCCAGCGACGAATATATACCAGCAATTTATAATAGTAGTGATTAAAAGGTTTACACGAATTTATAATTCTAAAATCACAATGTGATGTTGGGTTATGTGTGGTTCCATGCTTTCAACTTTATCATACCAAAGTTGATTATTAAAATTACGTTCGGCTTTAAATACTTTAATAATTTCGTTGTATTAAAAAATATTATATGAACATTATAATATAATACTTAAAAAAATAAATTATGACTATAAATTTTTATATTTTAGAAGGTGAGATGATATTACTGAATTTAATAAATATCATTGTAAAATTTAGAGAGCGAGAAACGACTTCTAATTACTTCGTAGCATTCCGTACTTCAGTGCCAACTACTCAATAGTACGCTCCGTTCACAGCGATCACATTTTGACGCAAGCGCTCCGTAGCGAAAGGGTTAACAAGTGATAGGCGTATAATTTTCAATTTTTCATGCATTCTGTCAATGTACTGACAGTACTTTTCGGCTCTAATTGTCCCCTCAGTCGAAGGAATGAGTAGTGAATTACTCCAGTCACATTAGTTTCCACTAATGCTATCAGAGCATCATTTTTCACAGACGTTTTGAGTCTTCCACGCGGTTCTTTTTTTAGGGAAAAATCACCAGATCGAAAATTTCCAAACGCTGCACTTTTTGATCGTTTACAGTATTCTCCTCAAACGCCTGGTTTATATTGTGGGCAGCTTTTGCAGCATTATTATCAATAAAATTACACGAATATTGGTTGAATTCACGTCCTTACGAAATTCGAAACAAATAACAAAATGGAACAATTTTGAGAAAATCTTTGTTGAAATGTGACTCTGGCAATGGACTGTACAACTATAAACGAGATTATGCCAAAAACAAAAGCATAACGAAAACAGGGAGACAAACGTTTACATATAAACAAAATCCGACATTTCATATGCACCTACATAATATTACGGTCGTTTTTAAGTGCATAAATGTGCACAAGCTTAAAAATAATAGAGTAGTAGTCTAGTGAAGAAAAATTGGGGGACTACGCTTCGAGCACTTATGGTAAATTCATTGAGATAATGAGGTCGTTGAATTCATTATTTTATCAATAATAACACAACGACAACAAAAGTCAAGGTCACTTCTAGTCGAAAGGCAATAGTTTTTTGAAATCTGTTGTATTTCAATACGTTGTCGAATAAATACTGATTAACTTTCATTGGATGCATTTTTTTATCAGACTGTTGAAAGTACTTGCAAAATCGTGGCGACAGTACGTGCTACACCCTGCAGACTCGGGTGAAAAATTTGAAAAAACTAACCAATTGCAATTTTTGAGAAAAATTTTTTGCTTTTGTATAATAAACTAATCCTTTTAACATCCCTAAAAAATTTAGACCGCTTGGCCTAATTATAAAAATGCTATTCTATTTTAAAAGGTGTACGAACGTACTTTGTACATATTTATAAGAAAAATGTGGAAATAAACTTCTAGTATTTTCTCCGTTTCCAACCGATTGGAAGCTTGACAAATTTTACACGTCATTTCTTAGTAAAAATTTTGGTCGTTTGTTTCGATTTAATCCGCCAATTCCCTCCTATCTTATGCTAGTCAGTTTTAGCAAGTTCGTAAATATCGAACTAAACGCGCGACCTTCCTTCCATAAAAGTGGGGCAAATAAACGAAATTTAACTGTAATTGAGTCTACCGGGAGAGAATTCCAGCACTTTCCAAGTGGAGTTTGAGAGAGAAATTCTATTTACGACGTCTTTCGTTATATGTAATTCGTGGACATTCTTCAACTTGATAGAACATTTTTTAAGGAACTTGTTTAGTCTTCGATAACGTTGTGTGAATTTTAAATCAAATAGTTTTTGAAATCTTTAGTAGTGAGGAAAGAGTTTATCGTCTACAATAAAAATATTAAATGTGAAACGAAGCCACAAGAAGCATAATACATGAAAAACATGAATTTTAATGTTTATCCGAAATGTATTATGTAATTTTTTTCGAAATGTGCTCGGAATTAAGTGCTCGAGACGGCCGATTCAGAGGCTTTGCCTTCTGGCAACCGCCGCACATCTTATTCCACATGGCAGCCATAATGCTCAGATCATCTCAAGCGTGTACCAATTCATGAGACATTCTTGTATCAATAGGTACCATGAGGTACTATTATTAATTAGGATTTTTTTTGTCAGTGGTATTCCACTACATTGCATGATAATTTTAGAAAATAAATGTATAGAAAATAAGGATTACATTTGCTCGAAGTATTATAATTCAGAACGTTTTCTTAATGTCATTTATTTCTTACAAGATCCTGGGTAGAGTTTTCGTGCTGAACAAAAAACTTTTCGTAAAAATACAAAAATATTGCGCAGAAACTGCGCACGTGGACACTTTTAAACTTTGACATCAATTTATTGCTATTTATGACCAAAAACAATTAATAAATTGTATGTCACTATATTCGGGAAACTCTCCTCTATCTTTTGAGACTGATTAGAACTTTCTAACGTTTGTACTTTTCATGCAATACCTCAATTTGTCGAAAATTTAGGGTTTTTACAAAAGTTCGTTTATTTAAAAAACTGAGGGTGACGGAGCAATTCGGTTTTCGGATTCTTGTTCGGGGAGTGAAGCTCTACAAGAATTTCATAGTGGCTATAGGAACCCAAAAATCGTGTCGGACAGTGTTATCGCGCGACACAGTGCAATAGACGTACAGGAGATGCCACTGACAAAAATAAGCATTAACAATAGTACCTCTTGCATGAAGTGAAAATCTATTAATACGAGCATATCGTCCTAATGCGCCACAAATATTTATCACGGTATGCGCCTGGGGTGCTGTGAGCCGATGGAAGCAAAACGGGGAGCAAGATGCTGCGGTAGTAGTCAGGTAGCGTAGCCCTCGCGGTATCAATGATCGCGGTATACATATCATGTATAAATAAACGAAAACTGAAAAGTAGACTAAAATTTTTAAATACATCTATTTTATCATTTCTTCAAGAATTTTCATAATTTCATTTTCTTCGCTGATCTGTTTTTGATAGGTCAGCCATAATTGTCGCCGCTGTCTGGATCTACGGAATTTTACTGTCTTTGCCTCCAATGTTTGGTTGGGGCCAATATGGAAATGATATTTTAAATATAACATGTATTCTACTATGGGATGACCACGACTCAGAACGAAGCAATATATATATTGCTTTTATTTTACTTGTTGGCCATGGATTACCAACAGTAATCATAATTTCGATTTCCGTACACATCATTTTGACAGGTAAACTATTTGAACCGAAACATACCAGCGGGCAATTCCCGGATCGGCCCGATCACTGTTCAACACAATTTTCTTTTTGTAATATTCAATGGGCGATCCTTGTAGTGCGCCACTATTCAACACAAATTCGAAAACGAAATTGTTGTATCATCCACAGTTTTCGAAAAATTCGAACTTTTTTAAAGATGCCCATTTTTTTTTAACAAAAGTTAAGTTTAACAAATTAATCGATCGGATATAGATCGGGACCAGGATTCGAACCTGGATCTTTCATTTGCCGGGCGTTTGCTTTAACCAATTAATCTCTCTTAATTCTCTCCTAGTCCTTATAAACACAACACGTCAGGAATAATGCCGAGGACTCATTCTTAAAGATAAAAATAACAAAAGCATAACGAAAACAGGGAGACGAACGTTTACATGTAAACAAAATCCGACATTTCATATGCACCCATCTAATATTACGGTTGTTTTTAAGTGCACAAATGTGCACAAGCTTAAATATAGTAGAAATTTATTTTGACGTTGAGACGCGTGCAGGCCTTTAACACAGTCTATCGAGTTCCCACTTGACTTACACATAAACTATTTTTTCATTATCATAAAAAACGTACCTGTGTCTATTGGAAAATTGTCCATAGAAGCTCTTGAGGCTCAACATAAAAATTTAAAATACTTTCGAGAACATAATACCGGTGGGACATCAAGAGAACAATTTTCTACTATTTCGTGCACATAGCTACATGGACAGCCCTGCGTGGAGCACAAAAGAAACAATGTCATATCATTTCTCGTGTCGCATGAACGAAGACATAGAAAATTATTTATTATTAGATTAAACATCTGACTTATTAGATACCAACACTGACACTTATTCTGAAGATTTATTTGTAAGTAAATAAAAGTCCGTTAAAATTGTAAAACTTTATTTTACAACCAGCAAGTTAATCACAATTTGTTTAAAGCAAATAATACTTTTTAATTTATCAATTGAATCAGCTTTGCATTTGATTTACAAAAGTATTAAGATATTTCATTCGAAAATTAATTAGTTTAAGAGTTATGACATTTTTCCTCGCGCGCGAAAACACGCGTCGCCCGTCCGGGAACTGCCTGCTAATGTGTTTCGGCCCTTAATGTTTTCTTCTTTCTTATTTTTGTACTTCTCCATTTAGCCTCTTAATCGAATCTCACTTGTCTTACTTATTTCGTGAAGTGAGACAAATTATTGTCATTCGATTAAAATTTGAATAATAAATATAAATAACCATAAATAAAAATGTTATGGATTCAAAGAATATGTTATTTAACCGAAATCTAGCATGCAATTATAATTTTACACCATAAATTCGCAAATGATGGCTGTAGTAAAAGTTTGACGATGAATATGTAAAACGATAATATTTCGAAATGAATGCACCTGCAGTGTGTTGTCCTTACAACCACAGAATCATTTTGCTCACTTAATTGCACATCTTTTAAAAGTAAAAATTAAATAATATTGACCAAATGTTTTCTTTAAGTCTCTACAATTCAGTAGTATCCAAAGGATACGTTTTCAAAAATAGTTACATACAAAATATCTATCCATTTAAAAACATAGTTTGTGTATAAATAAATAATTATCATTTTAATATAATATTTTATGATGTAAAAGCATACTACATAGATTGTTAGGGGATAATAAATGTACCATAAAATATAATGTCGGACAAGAGTGCATACAAATACTTGTTTTATTGAAAATGTGATAATACTACTAATTTTACAGCTATGTCGTAAGGGTTTTCTAAAGATTCCTGCAACCCTGTGCAGGTAGTAAAGAAATATACAGTTGAAATGAGATTATCGAAGTTTCACAGTGATAAACACGATTTGCAAAAAACCCATTCGAGATCGATGACGTAATCGTTGCGTCATTTGTTATTTGACATTAAAACGTTATTGATCGGTTATAGGATTTCAGTCATGAAATTCATTTTAATAATGAGTTCGACTGTAAAATGAAATTTCTAAATTTTAATGTACAGCAAACAAAAATGGGTGTAATTTTAGTTACTTTGGCGTCGGGGGTAATTAACCCTTTCCCGTGCCATTTAGCTCGACGAAATTCGGGTCCAAGTGGTAGACGTAAACGCGCGGCAAAGAAACCAGACTGATGCTCGAGAATAGTCACAATACGAACCGAAATGTAAATGCCTGTGATATAGTTATTTACGACCGTTACATTACGATGCTTATGTTCACGAGCTTGACTCGTGATGTTTGGCCCAACTTTCTGTTCACGAACCTGACTCGTGATGTTTACGTTTAGGGGATGTTTACGTTTACTCCCAAAATCTTCATCACGATTCAGACTTGTTAAAGCACGGGAAGGGATTAAATTCGCCGGTCTTGAATGTGTTAACAATTTTCTAAATTAATCTTCGCTTTCACAGCTTCATAACGTGAACTTCTTTTTTTATTTAAGCTTATTAAAGCTGTTATACATTAAATAGGCGTTGTAGTAATAGTGAACATTTTCTCTTAAATTTTATGATTATAGTCTTTCAAAAATGCATAGATGCAGCGACATGCAACGATATATTAGGTTGAGTAATTATTATCTCTACTTTTAGGGATAACCGTAGTTTGAGATGATTTAAGTTTTGAATAAGTTAGGTTCTACACAACACGAAAAAAATGCCAAATGACAATATAACATGATAAGTGTGTCGGTCTTGTAATTCAGATTCACGCAGAAGACAAAATTTGAGGATTACGAAAATGGTCAAATTGACGGTAATGATCTATCTAGTTGCTTGGATACCCCGTGTGACTTTGGGTATCGCTATTCATTATTTCGACGTAAGTATTTAGATGAATAGTAGTATTATATACATATACCATACTATACCGTACGGATGATGTTAATATGAATTAGGAATATGTTATCGTTCGAATACTTTCATGAGCCTGCGTATATGCATACTGAAAATTTCATCAAAATCGGTATATCTTAACATGAACTGTAAACAGTTAAAGATCGCGAAAGTCACAGTTTCGTCCTAATTTTTGACTCTTTTAACCAATAACTCTTAGAAATCCACAGAAATCCACAGAAATCCACAGTCGATTTCGATCTACATTTGTCCGATATTGTGTTAATGACAGTGTCCTTTGAGTAGATTTTAGAAACTATTGGTTGGGCGATATATTCGACCAACATATATCTAATGAGAACTAAATTATTTTTAATTGTGAAAATTTTATTTTGAGAAGAACTATTAGAAAAATCAAAAACTCGCTGACGGTTAAAGTGTTAATGAAAAAACAGGATGAAATAAGAACAGTTAATGCACTAGAAAATGTTACTCCTTGCTCTATAATATTGTGCCAGACTATGTAATTTACTACTATGAATATTTCGAATTCAATTTACCATATAAATGTGGATGTTATTAATTTTTCTGATATCGAAGTTAAATTCTATTGTTTTTAATGTAAATTCTTTCCCTTTGACTTTTACATTTTTTTTATATCTTTTAACTTTTCTATTTTTTTTGTAGGAAATTATTAGGTGTACAATTTAATTTGATTTTAAAATCACATGTATTGTTTACTATATGTATTGAGCTTTGGTAAATAGTATCAACAAATTTGATTATAGGGAATTAAATCAGCTGCTAATACAAAATCATTGTCGAGCACAAAAGGAGCTTATTA